TGGACCCGGTGGCTTAAACTCACGCAGGGTGCATGTGTGTGCGTGCCCAAGATCCCAAGAGGAGAATGGAGAAGGGGTTGTGGCATGGCCATCTCCCCTGGGGGGTGATTTCTCGCTTTCTGTCTCTCTGTCTCTCTCTGTCTGGCGAGTGCACGCGCCCTATGGCAGGAAAAAAAAAAAAAGACACTGTTCCTTGGGACCAGCAGTTAGCGTAATGGCTATGTCACTGAACTCCCATGTAGCTGACCGCGGTTCAAGTTCTGGACCCGGTGGCTTAAACTCACGCAGGGTGCATGTGTGTGCGTGCCCAAGATCCCAAGAGGAGAATGGAGAAGGGGTTGTGGCATGGCCATCTCCCCTGGGGGGTGATTTCTCGCTTTCTACCTCTCTCTCTCTCTTTCTGGTGAGCGCATGCACGCTATAGATAACACTTCTTAAAAGAAAGAAAGAAAGAAAGAAAGAAAGAAAGAAAGAAAGAAAGAAAGAAAGAAAGAAAGAAAGAAAGAAAGAACACTGTTCCTCTGGGCAAGAGGTGGTTTTTGCTGGGAGCATCAGTGTGACTGTCAAAATGATAGAGGCACATGGGGCGTTTGGGCGGGTGGTGTGTGGTCCTCTTTTTTTTTGGAGAGGTTTTTGCTATAGGGCGCGTGTGCTCGCCAGAAAGACAGAAAGCGAGAAATCACCCCCCAGGGGAGATGGCCATGCCACAACCCCTTCTCCATTCTCCTCTTGGGATCTTGGGCACGCACACACATGCACCCTGCGTGAGTTTAAGCCACCGGGTCCAGAACTTGAACCGCGGTCAGCTACATGGGAGTTCAGTGACATAGCCATTACGCTAACTGCTGGTCCCAGTGTGTGGTCCTTCTCTCCAGGACGGGTGTGGGGACAAAATGATGTGTGAATTAGTGTATGTGCAGCCCTGGGAGAGAGGGGGAACCTCTATGGGCCCACAGGCCAAGTTCACTTGAAAGCAGTCTTCATGCTGCCTGGGGTTGGGTGAGTACGTGTTTGTTTGGGGTGGGGAAGAAGTTGTGCCTAAGAATGAGATTGGGGGGCTTGAGGATACAAGAGTCCAGCCTCCCGAGGTCGCCTGTTGGTTCTCCCGGCCACAGCCACGCCTCCCCCAGCGCCGCCTCCCCCACGCCCTCCCTGTAGGCACCCACTACCTGCGGGGCGTGAACAACGCGCAGCAGCCATGGCACAACGCCGAGGGCCGGCTGCAGTACGGGTTGCGGCCGGCCAACCCCACCGAGGAAGGCCTGGCCAGCCTGCACAGCGTGCTGTTCCGCAAGCAGCCCTTCCTGTGGCGCGCAGCCCTGCTCTACTACACCATCCACCGTGCTGCGCGCATGTCCTTCCGCCAGCTGTTCCAGGACCTCGCGCGCTACGTGCAGGACGCTGACGTGCGCTGGGAGTACTGCGTGCGCGCCAAGCGCGGCCAGACTGACACCTCGCTGCCGGGTAGGCGCCCCCGCGCGGGTGGGAAAGTGACCTGAGATGGGGAGGGGTGAGGCTTCCTGGCAGGGCTCACTATCCTCGTGCTCACAGGTTGCTTCAGCAAAGATCAGGTGTACCTGGATGGCATCGTGCGTATTCTGCGGCACCGTGACACCATCGATTTTCGGCTGCTTACCTCGCTGGGCAAGGTGAGGAGCTACGTATCTTCAGAGGTTCCAGCCAGCTCTGTGTTTTGTCTCCAGTATACCCAGAGCTTCAGATCCGTGCTTCACCGAGGTCTAGTGCCAGGCTTCTGAACGGGGGTGGGATGGGGTGGAGTGGGGTGGGGGTGGGGGACGTGGGTGGAGGTGAGCACAGGAGAAGAAATGACAACCTGGTGACCAAAAGCAGGTGCCTGACCCAGCCCACAGGTGTGTGCGTGGGTACTGCATCTCAAAGGGATAGGGCATTCCAGGCTAAGCGAGCGGTCAGGAAGGAGCCTGGGGAAACAGCCAGGGCTCAATACCCTGGCACTAGGCATTTGTGCCAGGCTGAGGAAAGTGTGCCTTTCCCTGAGCTATGGTGAGTTGATGGAGCATTAGGCAGAAGAGTGGCACAATGTTTGCTTGCTTTCTTTCTTTTTTCCTAATTTGCCAGAGGGTTCATGCTCACAGGAGAGACGGAGGGTGAGAAAGAAATCCCCCCCCACAGGGAATGGTCACACTGCTGTCCCTGCTTCATTTCTCCCTCCTTTTTTTTTTTTTTTTTTTTATACATCCAGCATTTTTCTTTCTTTTTCTTTTTTTTAAGCATTATTTATTTAATTTGATTTATCATGACAGATGGCATAGCACACACACACG